CAAGTATAGGTTTCGCATTAGCACAATTAAATGTTCTGGGATTCCCATTCTTCTCAGAGTCAGCCACAGTTTGTTATGATCCACACAGTCAAATGCCTTTTTTTAGTCAATTTCTTATTTGCCCAGTCCTATCTAACCAGTACATCGAGGAAAAAGTATGTCTTTTTCTCTGAAGAAATGGTTTTAAGAAATTGATTTTTTTTTCAAACAGGAACCAATTTTTAGATTCTCCCAAAAATGAACAAAGCTTCTTTAGTCTCACTTTTCTTTACTGTTATTAGTCACTGCTGAGTCAGTTCTGACTTCTAGTGACCCAGTGTAGAACAGAGTGAAACGTTTCCTGGTTCTGAGCCACTGTGTTGGTCCAGCACGCGGAGGATTTTTTCCCCCACTGACCAAGTGCATTATCAAAGGAGCTTTGGTAGCTCCCTTGCCACAGTGTCTCCACAGACACTGTGGATTCTGCTTTGATCATATTTTTGCCTTTTTAATGTTTTAAAGAGATTTTTTTTGAAGCAGATTTGCCAAATGAATTGTGTCATTTGATTTCTTGACTGCTGCTTCCATGAGCATTGATTTTTTTGTGTGAGTAAAATTGAAATCCTTGGCAACTTCACACTTTTCTTCCGTTTTCATGATGTTGCTTATTGATACAGTTATGAGAATTTTTTTATTTCTATTTTTGTAAGGTAGTATCCATACTGAAGGATGTCGTATTTGAGCTTCATGTCCTCTTTTACTCTCAGTAAGCCAAGTTATTTCAACTGCATATTGCAGGTTGTTATTTATCCGAATCCTAATGCCAATCCAATACTAATGCCACATTCTTCTGGATAGTCCAATCTGTCAAATTATTTGCCTAACATACAGACTGAGTAGATATGGTGAAAAGATGTAACCCCGATGCACACCTTTCCTGGTTTTTAATCAAGTGGCAGTCTTTTGTTTGTGTGAACCATTGCATTGCAATTCATGTACAGGTTCCTCATTTGCACAATTAAGTGTTGTGGAATTCCCATGTTTTCTTTTTTTGCAATGTTATCTGTAATGTGCTATGATCACAGTCTAATTACTTTGAATAGTCAATGTTAAACAGATAAACCTCTTTTTCGTATTCTCTCCTTTTAGCCAAGATCCATCTAAGATCTGCATCAATACTCCTTGTTCTCCAGCCTCATCTGAATCCAGTTTGCATTTGTCACTTTCCTAATTTTACTATCCTTTATTTGAAAAATTGTTCAGTTAAATGCTGAACATAACTTTCTTGTGTAAACGCAATTTCTTCTTAGCTTATAGGGAGCTCTTGTGGCCTAATGGGTAAGCAGTTGTGCTGTCAACGCAGAGGTGGTTTTGTTG